CTCCTTGGGTGATTGTGCCTTGCTATTAGCTTTGGTGTCCCTGGTAGACAAATAACCCCCCGCCTAAGATCACTATTCACTGTTGGGGTGTCTTGGGTGGTTTGGACAAGATAGAAATAAAGATTTATTTCGTACCTACTGGGTGCAAGGTAATGAACAGACCTTTTGTTGTCCAGTTCTCACAATAGGTATGGGAACAAGTTGTTATTATCCCCCTTTTGCAGATAAGGAAACTGAGGCTCAGAGAGGTTAAGTTGTTTTCTCAGAGTCACAGCTAGTAAGTAGTGGAGCCACGATTCAAGCTCAGTTTGGTTTGGTTCTAAAACCCAGGCCTCTCCTGCCATCCCTGCCACCTCTCCAGAGCTGGCTGGTGAGGGAGGCTGGGAGGCTGGATGCAGGGCGGGGTGCCACCTGCCCCATATCTCGTTCCCCAGCGATTCTGGCTGCTCCTCCTGACCCGGGGCCTGGTGGGGGTCGGGGAGGCCAGTTACTCCACCATCGCGCCCACCCTCATCGCTGACCTCTTCGTGGCAGACCAGCGGAGTCGGATGCTCAGCGTGTTCTACTTTGCCATCCCTGTGGGCAGGTGAGTGGACCTCGGGCCTGGTGGGGAGGCAGAAGGGCCTTGCCTGGAACGGGACTGACCAGCCGTCTCTTCTCCTCCCCCACCCCCTTCCCACAGTGGTCTGGGTTACATTGCAGGCTCCAAAGTGAAGGATGTGGCCGGGGACTGGCACTGGGCTCTGCGGGTGAGTCGTGTCACGGCCTGGGGAAAAGTTAGCAGTGCACTCACTGACTCCCCCTTTTGAAGGCAGTGCTCACTCTGCCAAGCCTACAGGCAGCCTAGCTGCCCTCACTGCGAGGCCACGTGCTAGGTAAAACTCGTGATTGCAGGTGATAGAAGCCCATTGTACGACTGTAAACCCCCAAATGGGACTGTATTGGCTCTCATAATGGGAAGTCCCAGGGTGAGCTTCAGGTAAAGCTGGATGCAGGACTCCCGCAGTGTCACAGGAATTTGATCATCCTTTTCTCAGCTCTACTCTCCTCTGTTATCTTCCTTCTCAAGCAAGTGAAAGCTCCACGTGTTTATCTTCCCGTTTAGAAACTTCAGCACCCTGGATCCTTGAGCAGTAGTCCTGGGCGGTGTCTGATTAGATGAACGCGGGTCACTTGCTGGCACTGACTCAATCACTGAGGCCTGGGAGGTTTAACATTACTCTTGGCAAAGTCTGGGTTACAAGCCCCACCCTATTTGAACCACGTGGGTTGAGAGAAATGGGGGGAGTGGTTTCCCAAAAGAAAATTAAGGTGCTGTTGCTAAAGAGGGAGCAGTTAGGCTTGCAGAAACAGAAACACTTCCTAGTGGCAGTCACCCCCTCCCCTCAACCACAGGTTCAGCTTCCTTGAGCAGGCACTCACTGGGTGTTTGAGGTCTTGGGGCCTGAGTTGCTTTTATACACCCTCACTTTCTCTCAGCCCCCAGGGTTGAGTGTCTCCCCGTCTGTGCCTTTCTTGAAGCCCACTCTTTCCCCAGGTGACACCAGGTCTAGGAGTGCTGGCTGTTGTGCTGCTGTTCCTGGTAGTACGGGAGCCACCAAGGGGAGCTGTGGAGCGCCACTCACACTCACCACCCCTGAACCCCACCTCGTGGTGGGAAGATCTGAGGGCTCTGGCAAGAAAGTGAGTTCAGTTCCATCCTAACCCAACATCTGAGGCCCCCAGGGAGGCCCTGAGGTCTAGTTTGAGATTTACATGGGTGTGGTCTTTGTTCTGCTTTCTGTCAGCTGGCCCTACCCTAAGGCCAGGAATTCTGTCGCCACTGCCCCCTTATGGCAACTGCTTGAATTACAGGCCCAGATCCTGGAGGCCAGTACAGCCTCCAGACTCGGTGCCCTGACTATTAAAATAAGCCAGGGAGGGAAAAGAGAGGTCTCTGACACCGATACCTCAGTGGAGTCTAACTTCCTCCCTCCTAATTGTCTGCAGTCCTAGTTTCATCCTGTCTTCCCTTGGTTTCACTGCTGTGGCCTTCGTCACGGGCTCCCTGGCTCTTTGGGCTCCTGCTTTCTTGCTGCGTTCCCGTGTGGTCTTGGGGGAGACCCCCCCCTGCCTTCCTGGAGACTCCTGCTCTTCCTCTGACAGGTACCCAGATGGGGTCTGGTCTGGGTAGCCCTGCAGGTGGCAGGGGATGAAGTGGAGAGAGTCTGTGATTCAGACTCAGGCAAGGAGAGTGTGAATCCTGACTCCACAAGCTACTTCCTCTCCCAGAGTCTCAGTTTCCTAGTCTGAGAATAGGTGCCTTCCTCTTGTGAACCATGGGGTGCTGTGCCTGGATAGACCTGGGTTGTGAGGGTGGCCGGGATGGACGATCGTTCTCTCTGGGCCATGGGGGTGAGGCTAACCCCCTTGCCCCTCTCCTTCCCCCCAGTCTCATCTTTGGGCTCATCACCTGCCTCACCGGGGTCCTGGGTGTGGGCCTGGGCGTGGAGATCAGCCGCCGACTCCGCCGCTCCAACCCCCGGGCTGACCCGCTGGTTTGTGCTGCTGGCCTCCTGGGCTCTTCACCCTTCCTCTTCCTGTCCCTCGCCTGTGCCCGTGGTAGCATCGTGGCCACCTATGTGAGTAGCCAGCAGGTGTCTAAGGGGGTATTCTGGGTCCAGGTTGGAGGAATGGTGCACTGGGGCAGGACTAGGGTCAGAGCCAACTCTGGAGTGGGAATGCCTGGGTTTGAATCTCAGCTCTGGCCATTCTTAGTTGTGTGACATTGGGCAAGTGACTTAACCTCTCTGTGCTCAGTTTCATCTTCTGTAAAGTGGGAATAAAAGTAGCAACTGTCTCCTAGGGGTGTTGTGAGGGTTAAATGAGTTAATAGATGGGCCTGGTACCTAGTGAACCCTCCATGTGTTTGCTCTTCTTGTGATGAGACCAACGCCCCACCCCTGTTCCCCCTCCTTCACCGCCTACCTCCCATCCCCCAGATTTTCATTTTTATTGGAGAGACACTGCTGTCCATGAACTGGGCCATTGTGGCTGACATTCTGCTGGTGAGTAGCTGGCCCAGGGTTACCCCAGAGGCTGATGGGAGCAGGGAGTTGGGGCAGGGGACCTCACTTGCCTTGAACTGTGACCTTCACCCCTTCTTCAAAACCCAGCCCTGGACTGACTTCAGAGTCCAACCCCAGGTGGGCCTGTAGCCCGGGCCCGCCCTGCCCTTCACCCCAGCCACACCTCTGAGCTGGGGTTCACCTGACCTCAGCCTAGGCTGAGCCTTGGCCCTGTCTCCTGCCCCTCTTTCCTCCCAGTACGTGGTGATCCCCACACGCCGCTCCACCGCTGAAGCCTTTCAGATCGTGCTGTCCCACCTGTTGGGTGACGCTGGGAGCCCCTACCTGATTGGCTTGGTGAGCACGGTCCCTTGGCTGGGCCTGGGATGGGGCTCGGGGGACCCCACATTCCCAGTACCGGCTGGCGGCCAGTGGCCTGAGCACAGGCCAGATTAGAGGGTCTCACGCTAGTGAGGCATCCGAGTGCCCTGTGCCAGGCACCCTTCACCTCGGAGGCTTAGCTGGGTGGGCACGATTTTGTCTTGTCAGATTTCTACCGGTAAGGTCCAGGCCTAAGTCTTCTTCATTCTCTGGAGTTCAGGGGCTTCCTCTCCGTTCTCCTGACTTTTCTTTCCTTGTCTACCTGCAGATCTCCGACCGTCTCCGCCAGGGCTGGCCCCCCTCCTTCTTGTCTGAGTTCCGGGCCCTGCAGTTCTCGCTCATGCTCTGCGCCTTCATGGGGGCGCTGGGCGGCGCGGCCTTCCTGGGCGCTGCCATCTTCATTGAGGGCGACCGCCGGCGGGCCCAGCTGCACGTGCAGGGTCGGTCGGGCCTCCCCGCTGTCCGTCCACAGCTCCTTGCCTAACTTCATGATGCTGCCTGCTTGTCCATCCATCCGCCCACCCAGCCCCATGTCCCTGGCAGCCCTCAGTCCACAGCCCTCCCCTCCCTCGGCCTCGGGTCTCCCTGTCCCACGAGCTGATGCCCCACTGTGTGGCTCTGCTGCCCCATCCATTTGCTAGTGCCTGTTTGTCCGCTCCCTGGCCCTGTGTCTGTCTGTCCATCCAGCCCTGGCTCTGATCCCTCCCCGACAGGTCTGTTGCGTGAGGCCGGGCCGGCTGATGACCGCATTGTGGTGCCCCAGAGAGGACGCTCCACCCGGGTCCCCGTGTCCAGTGTGCTCATCTGAGGGGTTGCCGCTTGCTACCTGCACATCTACCACAGCTGGCCCTGGGCCCACCCCAGGAGGTGCCTGGGCCCAAATCCTCGGCTGGCCCATTTTCTAGGAGGGGCCTTGGGCCATGGTCCAGCTCCTACACACTACACAGGTGGCCAAGAGGGGATTCTGGGGGTCCGGGAGGGGGATCCCCTGCCACTGGAGCAGCCCCAGGGGCTCGGTGCTATTTGTAACTGAATAAAGTTTGTAGCCAGACCCCAAGTGCCTGCTGGAGTCTCTCTGGGTGCTAGTGACCCCTGGATTGCAGGGGACGCCCCCTCTCTAGTCCCAGGTTCCCAGGGGCTGTTGGGTCACTCCTGCGGGCCCTTGGGCAAATCCCTGCCCTTCTGGGCCAGTGAATGAGGGGGCGGAGTGAGCTGGCTCGGTGTGACCGGGAGTCGCTTACGCCCATGTCTCCCCGAGAGCCTGCCCTTCTTGGCAGGCCGGCCAGGGTGAGGTGGGGTGGGCACGCCCTGGGCCCCTCAGAATTCCTGGTGTCAGGGCCTCCCTCCCTGCCGCCTCCTTGAGCCGCGCTGTGGAGGGCACAGTAGCTGGCTGGCCTGCAAGTATCTTTTCCTCCTCCCACTGGTCTGAGTTGCCCCTTGTCCCAGGGACCAGCAGACCCTTCCTGAGGGCCCAGGCCGGCTCCTGAGGCCGCCTCCTCCCCCTCCCCACTGGCTGGGTGGGGGTGGGAAGGGGGAGGGTGCAGCCAGCTGAGCCCTGATGATTTCCTGCCCTCACCCGGCGCTCACCACAGCTTCCTGCCACAGGCAGGCAGGCACTGAGGAGAGGCAGGCGCAGAGTCCAGGGGCAGGTAGGGCTGGGGCACAGGGTCTGTGTAGGGGTGGCTGGCGCCAGACTCCAGGTCAGGGCCTGACCGCCCTGGGTTCAAGGGTCTTCCAGAGCCTGCGCTGACGCCCACTGAGGGGAGGAGACCCAGGGAGCCCCCGAGGAGGGCGCAGCTGCCCCCCACCAGGCTCCCAGCCTCGTGCCCGCTCAGCCCCTGTACCCTTCGTGGCCTGGCCCTTGCCCCGCTGCTGCTGTGTCCCCAAGGGGTGTGCGGCGAGCAGCTAGGCCCGGTCCACGCTCTCCCCTGCAGATGGAGGCAGTCAGCCCGGTCCTCTTTGTGCTGGGCCTCCTGCTGCTCTCTCTCTTGGCTGTGCTGCTGATGGCATTGTGTGTGCGTTGCCGAGAGCTGCCAGGTGAGTGGGTACTGGTGGGGTGTCCAGGTGCTCAGACACACCGACAGGGATCCTCACCCCACGCCCCAACTCCTTTGTCCCTCTTTAACTCTTTCGAGTCGCTGAGAGCCCCGTACTCCATCACCCTCTGCCCTCATCACCCCCTTTTCCTGCCTCACGGGCCCTCTCTTCCCCAGGCTCATATGACACTGCTGCCTCCGATGGGTGAGTCTGCCCCGTCCGTCCTGGGTGTCTCCCTCAATACCCCGTGCAGGGCTGGGCCCCAGGGGACTGAGATGGGGTCTGGGGCCTCTCCCAGCTGTTTACCCACACTGTGTCTCTCCTGCTAGTTTGACCCCAAGTAGCATCGTGATCAAACCGCCTCGTGAGTACATGGAGGGTCACCTTCCTTGGACGCGGGGGGAGCATCTCCTGGCGTGGGTGGGAGAGTGTGTGCCTTTGTTCAGTTTCCCCCTGTGGCTGCCCACATGGCCTTGACCTGAGCTGGGGGTGGGGAGGGAGATGGGTGCCCCCCCCACCAGGCCTGTCCAGGGCACAGGGGTGTCGTGGGTTAGTCTGCCCTTCGAGGCCTCGTCCAGGGTAGGGGCGTGAGCTTTGGAGTCATTCCTTCAGCTTGGTCCTGTCTTCTCAGCCACAGCCGCCTCCTGGCCACCAGCCACTTCCTACCCGCCTGTGACCTACCTGCTCCAGAGCCAGCCAGACCTGCTCCGTATCCCGTAAGTGGCCGCTTCCCCTCCAAATCCCCCTTTTTACCCCCTCACCTGCTTGGACTGGGGGCCTCTTTCCCTGTTGCAATCCCTCTTGCCCCAGAGCCCCACCCCAGCCTGCCCTCTGACCTTTGATTCCCAGGAGATCCCCACAGGCCCCCGGAGGCTCCCCCCGCATGCCGTCTTCCCAGCAGGACTCAGATGGTGGTAAGCGTGGAGCCGGGCCCGTGGGGCTGGGGCCAGGCAGAGGACAGGCCCCTCTGAGCTAGCTCAGTCTCCCTCCCCTGCTCTCTCTGCAGCCAACAGTGTGGCCAGCTATGAGAACGAGGGTGCGTCAGGGGCCCCGGCGGCCCTGGTTGGGAGGAGGCTGGGGCCTGTCCTGGGATCCGCTGACCCTGTGTCGTTACCCACCCCAGAGGCAGTCTGTGAGGATGCGGACGAAGATGAGGATGAGGAAGACTATCCCGAGGGCTACTTGTGAGTGGCCAGGCGGGAGGTGGGAGCTGAGGCCGGGGCTCCTTGCTCACCCGCTCCTTGGCTCCCCTCAGGGTCGTGCTTCCTGACAACGTCCCGGCCACTGGCGCCGCCGTCCCACCAGCTCCTGCGTCCAGCAACCCTGGCCTCCGAGATAGCGCCTTCTCCAGTGAGTCGGCCTTCTGACCACTCCCCGCCCCTCTGTGCTGCGGCCCCTCGGCTCTTCCCTCTCCTCCTGGATGTTTGCTCCCCCTCCATTTTCTCTCTTCTCTCTTTCTAGCACTTCTGTCCTTCAGATAGGGGCACTTCCGGCTCCGATCGTCTGATTTCCTTACCTTTTCTCTTCTCTTCCCTCCTTGTCTTTTGCTTTTATTGTCTGCAAGATTTCCTTGACTTTATTCTTCTTTTGAGTCTATGCTTTTGTCTTTCTTGTCCAAAAGCCCTTTCTTCATCTCTGAATGTTCCTTTTTCATAGCCTCCTATCTTGTCTCACAAAGGCAGTATCATCTCCTAAATCTCTAAGGAGAAGTAGGTTATAGGTCGTCTTTTTGGGGGTTTCTTTGGGAAGTTTTCGTCTGCTTTCTGTGTTGTTTCTGTTTCCTTTGGGCTGCTTTTCTCTCTTCGTTTTGGTTCCGTCCTGCCTGTTGGAGGCTTTTCTAAGTGTCTTGTGATCTTCAGTGTTCCATTCCTCTCCTTCCTCTCTACACTTGCTCTGGGTCTTGACTTCCACACCCTGGCTTCATGTGCCATCCTGATTCTCAACTCACGGCCTCTCTCTTGAGCCCCAGACCATCTGTCCAAGTGCTTATTTTCATTCATTCATTCACTCATTCAGTCATCCGTCATATTTACTGGGTGCCCCTGATATAATCACATCTAATGAGGCAGAGTTGTGATTAAAACAACTAACATTATTGAAGGCCTACTACATGCCCTACTAAGAGTTTTATGTGTATTAACTTATTAATGTTAAACGTCACAATTCCCAGGGGCTTTTGAGCCTGTCCCTTCCCCTCCTGCCCCACCCTTGTCCCATCTGTACAATGATTTGCTTATTTAACAGAAACTTGGCGGCATTGACGGTATGACAGGCCTTAGTTTATTTTATTTTTTATTTATTTATTTATTTATTTAAACATCTTTATTGGGGTACAATTGCTTTACAATGGTGTGTTAGTTTCTGCTTTATAACAAAGTGAATCAGTTATACATACACATATGTTCCCATATCTCTTCCCTCTTGCGTCTCCCTCCCTCCCACCCTCCCTAGATAGGCCTTATTTTAATTCACCGTTTTCACAACACCCCTGTGCGGTGGGTACCGTTCCTCACCCTATTTTACAGACGAGAAAACTGAGGCCCAGAGCAGTTAGGTAGCTTGCCTGAGGTTGCACAGTTAGTTAATGCTGGAGCTGGACTTGAACCTGGGCAGTCTGACTCCGAAGCCTGCCTTGTCCACATCCTCAGGGAGAAATAAGTCAACACATGAAAGAATATAAGATGTCGTCAATGGCGCTAGGCGCTAGGAAGGGACAAGGACAGGAGAGGGGGGTCAGGGCAGGCCTGGCTGAGGAGGAGGGGCCAGCGGGGCTGATGGCGCCTCTGACTCGGCCCAGCCCCGCGTGTTGTTTCCTTCCGCACACGTGTCGCCCAGCCCCACCACCCCTAGCCGCTCCCCGTCCCTGCTCCCTGGCCTGGGGGACACGCTGGGGCCTGCTGTCTCTCCTCCCACAATTCCGTTTCCCCTAATCAATTCTGGTCAAGTCGTCCTACTTCTCTCCATCGCCACCCGCGTGGCAGGTCCGGACCGCCCTCCCTGCCTCCCTCTGGGGCTGACAGTGGGGATGGTCTCTGGGGGTCTGCGTGTAGGAGTCTCGGGCTGGTTATGTCGAAAGTCTTTGGGGGCTGCGGTTGGGAGCCTCTGGGTGTCTGCCTCGGGGGGTCTGGGTAACAGTGCGTGGGTGCCAATGCTTTTCCTGCAGTGGAGTCGGGGGAAGATTACGTGAATGTCCCTGAGAGTGAGGAGAGCGCGGATGCATCTCTGGGTGAGTGGCTGGGGTCTGCCTTCCCTCCTCACTCTCGCACCCCCCCACCCCATCCTCACTCTCATTCCGGCCTTGAGGGTGCCCACCGCCCCCTCTCTGGCTTCCTCACCCTCTGCCTGGGTGTCCTCCTCCTCTCTCACCCTCAGTGTGGCCTGCCCCCCTTTTGGTATGGCCGTCCCTCCTTCTGACCTGTCCCCACAGATGGGAGCCGGGAGTACGTGAACGTGTCCCAGGAGCTGCCGCCCGTGGCGAGGACCGAGCCTGGTGTGTGTCGGGGGAGGTAGGGCAGACGCTGGGGGAGCTGCCTTGGAGGAGAGCGGGATGGCCTGTCAGCTGAAGACCAACCCCCCTTCCCTCGCAGCAGGCCGGAGTTCCCAGGAGGTGGAGGGTGAGGAAGCTCCAGATTACGAGAATCTGCAGATCCACTGAAGGCCCGGTGAGAGGCCCGCCCGGCCCGGCCCTGCCCCGGGCCTGCGGGCCCTCCCCGCCCTCTCCTCTCTGAGTCTGGGGCCCCTGTGGCTGCCACCGACCTCCTGACCCTGTGCCCCTCCCTCTGTCCCTGTCCCGCTGTGTTTCAGTGGGAGGCCGCGTGGGGTCTGGAGCCAGCCTTGCCTGGGAGTGCTGAGCTGAGCAGCCGGCAGCGGCTCTGTGGGCCCCCACTCGGCATCCCACCCCGCCTCCAGCCTGACGACAGCCTGAGAACTTTCCCCCTAACTTATTGTCACTCCGGGGTCCCGTCTGTGTGGCCCCAGTACTCTGCACCTTCTGATGCAGCCTGAGAACAAGCCACCCTGGCCCCAGCCCTGCTCTGTAACAGAATAAAGGCTGCTGTGGTCTGTAGTGCTCTTAGCTTTGGGGGGCCCAGTGGGTCGGAGTCAGGGTGAGGGTGGGCTGTGTCCGAGGTCCTGAGTGTGTGTGTGTGTGCGCATGTGTGTGTGTGTGTGTGTGTGTGTGTGTGTGTGTGTGTATGTGTTTGTGGGTCTCCATCCTTGCAGACCCTCTGTGCTCCCGAGGGTCCTGACCAGGTATGTGTGAGTGACTGAACGAAGCCTGGGACACGTCACCTTCTGAGTGAGGCAGTTCTGAGCCCAGCTGGCACTCCTGGGGCTCAGGTGCATCTCCTCATGAGTTAGTCCTTGGAAGTGGCAGACGACGGCCGAGGTGATGGGAGAACAGGGCGTGGGGAAGCGCTGGGTGGGCGTCTAGAGCAAGACCCTTCCCCACCGGCCCCTGGTTTCTCCATCTTTAAAACAAGGGGGTGGACTTGATGACCTCAAAGGGCTTGCTTATTTAAAAAAAATTAATTAGTTTTTGGCTGCATTGAGTCTTTGTTGCTGCGCACGGGCTTTCTCTAGTTGCAGAGAGCAGGGGTTACTCATTGCGGTGGCTTCTCATTGCGGAGCATGGGCTCTAGAGCGCAGGCTCAGTAGTTGTGGCGCACAGGCCCGGTTGCTCCGTGGCATGTGGGATCCTCCAAGACCAGGGCTTGAACTTGTGTCCCCTGCATTGGCAGGCAGATTTTTAACTACAGTGCCACCAGGGAAGTCCCTCAAATGGCTTTCTTAATTCTTACTTTTTGTGGTTCTTAATAAAACAGAACTTTAAAAATTGTCTAAGCAACTGAAAAAGTTAACGGGCAGCACAGTCCTCTTCAGACTTGACTTAGAGATGACTTACCTGGGGGTTTTGCGAAAATGCAGATTCTGATTCAGTCCATCTGGGATGTAGCCTGAGACTCTGCATTCCTAACGAGCTCCCAAGTGGTTCTACTGCTGCTGCTCCAAGACCCCCCCCCTCTGAGTACGAGGGTCTGGTGGATACCCTGGTCGTTGGGACTGGCCCCTGTGCGGGCGTGTGACAACCTGGCCAGAGTGAGGCCCAGCGCGGGACATGAGCAGGAAGTGTCAGGAGGGAGAAGCTTTTTTTTTTTTTTTTGCGGTACGCGGGCCTCTCACTGTTGTGGCCTCTCCCGTTGCGGAGCACAGGCTCCGGACGCGCAGGCTCAGCGGCCATGGCTCACGGGCCCAGCCGCTCCGCAGCATGTGGGATCTTCCCGGACTGGGGCACGAACCCATGTCCCCTGCAACGGCAGGCGGACTCTCAAACACTGCGCCACCAGGGAAGGCCAGGAGAAGCTTTTTGTTCATGGCAGTTGTGAAGCTGGGAGAATGTGGTCCTGGAGCCCCCACCTGGAGAGCATCCCAAGAATGAAGCCAGTATGGAAGAGAGAAGGCCTGGAGGTGGGCAGGGCTGGCTTCCTGGTGGTGTCAGAATGCCTGGATCTAGTCACACCTGAAGCGAGATATCCCCTCAGACTCTGGTTACTTGGGCCAATAAATGACCAGTTTTCTTCAACCAGCTTGATTTGGGGTTTCTGTCACATACAACTAGAGTAGTCCTGAGCGGGATGCAAAGTTGTTGGTGTCCTCTGGCCTCCAAAGGTAATACCAACAGCTCCTCTATATAGCGCCTGCCACACTTCCGTGCTTATTTCATCATTGTCACGCCCCTGTTGTCAGTTACTGTGCGTATCCCCATTTTGCAGGTGAGGAAACACAGGCTCAGAGAGGAAAAGTGATTTTCAGTGGCAAATCTGGGCTGAGATCTGGGCCTGTTGGCGTCCAGAGTCATTGCTGCCAGCACCCTTGCTCTGGGTGTTGTATTAGGAGCCGCTGCGCCAGGCGGGGAGGTTGTGAGAGGCCTGTTGGAGAAGTGGGGGAGGGAGGTCTGGGGAAGTGTTTGGACAAGCTGGACATCAACAGGTGGCATGGTCTTTTTTTTTGGTTTTTTTTGGCCGATGTGTGGCATGTGGGATCTTAGTTCCCCAACCAGGGATCGAACCCACGCCCCCTGCAGTAGAAGCGCGGAGTCCTAACCACTGGACCACCAGGGAAGTCCAAGTCATTTTATTGGGAGGAAATAGAAAAGGGCAGAGGCACCTTTATGCCTGGGCTGAGGGACAGAAACAGTTTACCAACAAGGTCATGTTGGTGCCACCACCCTGAGAATAACCTAGCGACATCAGCCAAGCTGAAGATGGTGTGTCCCTTTGCCTAGCATATCCCTGGGTGTAAACCTGGACAAAGCAGCACGTGGGCTAAGGGGTAGGTCCAGGGGGCTCAGGGCAAACTGTAATGGCTGACAGCGGGACACAGCCGACACCGTCACTGGGAGAGTGGACGGAGGGCCTGCAGTCCAGTGACACCGTGGAGACCCACCAGCAGAGAAAGATCAGTGGACTGGAGCAACATGTCACCTCCGATAAATGTCACCAGCAGAAGGTGGAGTGAGAAAAGGAAAGCAAGTGTTTTATTTATATAAACCTAAATACATGAAAAACCTGTACATGTTGTCCAGGGATACACATATATGCAAGGATAGTAAGATAGGCAAAGGACGGAATTCCCAGTCAGTCCAGTGGTTGCGACTCTGTGCTTTCACTGCCATGGGCCATGTGTTCCATCCCTGGTCAGGGAGCTAAGATCCCACAAGCCGTGAGTCGCGGCCAAAAAAAAGAAAAAGAAAAGAAAAAAAAAGATAGGCAAAGGAATGAGGAATATCAAACTCTGGAGGGTGGCTACCATGGGCCAGAGGGGGAGGATACCTGGGAAGGAGTTCAGGAAGGGCCTCCATGATATGTGTAATGTCTTGTTCGTATTAAGCAGGGTTGGATACAGAGGTGTATGTTACGTGTCTCTCAAGTGTTTGCAAATCTGAATGATTTTGTAATAAGAAGAGAGGCCAAGACCTAAGGGGGCAGTGGATGGAGGCAGTAAAGTAGGGCAGCTTTAGGAGGCAGTAAACAGGAGGCTGAGAGGGGCCGGTCTGTCTGCGCCCAGTAGGTGAGTTGCACATGGCGCTCCAGGCTTTAGGGGCAACGTAGGCAAGGGCCCTGAGGTGCGATCAGTGAGGCGGCTCCCAGAGAGGTCCACGGGAGACGTGGTGGGCTAGCTGAAGACGTGGCGGTGGCCGTGGAGCGAGGTGGTAGAAGGGGATGTTGGAGGCAGAAGCAAAGGACGTGGTGATGGGTTGGCCATGGGCCGCGAGGCTTGGGGAAGTCCAAGGTGACTCTGGGTCCTTGCCTTGGTGGATTGGGGCGGGGTGTGCCCTGAGGCACGAAGCAGCTTCCCACTGGTGTTTCTTGGATCAGCAAGAGAATGTGGCTTTGCTTCCGCCAGCGGATGAGCCAGGAGGGACAGAGAGTCAAGGCAACGAGGTCTACGGGGCTGGGCTGGGGTTCTTAGCATAGTGGGGCGGTCAGTAGGTGGAATCCCTGCAGCTGGGGAGCAGAAACAGGTTTTTTCTTGAAGTCCGTTGCTGGAGGAAAGGTAGATTTAGTGATAAGTGAGAGACAATGTTTACTGGAATTGCTGGGGAGAAAATTGGGTGCTTGTTAAGGCCATCGGAAGGTAACAGCTCTATTGATTTGGGGTCTCTCAGAAGCGGTCCTTGAGATAAGGGTCCCAGTGCAAATAGTTTATTTGGGAGGTGGTCCCAAAAACACTGACAGGGGAGTGAGACAGGAAAGAGAAGGCAGCCAACAAAGGATGCATTATAGAGCCAGTTACCCATGTGGGCAACTGGGGCACAGCCCTGCCAGGGCAGTCTGGGGGCCTTGTGGAGTGGGTGGGTATGAGCCATCCTGCCTGGGGAGGGAGCTGGGGTATTTGTACAACCTCGCCCATTACTCACCAACTGAGGGTGGCTCCAGGGAAAGGGGGGCTGTTAATTCTCCAGAACTTCTGGCCTGCCACTCCTGTGGGCACAGTGGGCACCAGTGGCCCCAGCAAGCCTGGAGCAGAGGAAGGCAGGTGCCGGCAGATGCGTGGGCCAGTGAGCCCTGAAATGGTGAGGAGGGCCACGGACAAGGCATCGATAGTGCCTGTTGCAAGAGCTCGGGCCGTTTGTGGTATTCAGTGCCATTGTTTTCCAGAATGCACTGTGTGGCGCATGAGTCCTGAGAGAAGCTTCTCAAGGAAGCCTTCTGCTTTCAGGAGAGTTTGGGAAAAGTGCATTCTCTAAATCCTCCGGGCAGAGTCAAGTGCACTTTGCTGAGTTCATGGCTCTGAGGGATCCTGTGAGAAACCTTTGTTTCTATTTGCCTAATCTAGTATTCCCCAAACGTATTTGACTTTAGAACTTTTTTTAAAAAAATAAATTTATTAATTTATTTATTTTTGGCTGCGTTGGGTCTTTGTTGCGGTGCGCGGGCTTCTCATCGCGGTGACTTCTCCCGTTGCGGAGCACGGGCTCCAGGCGCACGGGCCTCAGTAGTTGTGGCTCATGGGCTCAGTAGTTGTGGCGCACGGACCTAGCCTCTCCGTGGCATGTGGGATCTTCCAGGACCAGGGCTCGAACCCATGTCCCCTGCACTGGCAGGCGGACTCCCAACCACTGCACCACCAGGGAAGCCCTGACTTTAGAACTTTAAAAAATGTTATTAGCATTTTGCCGGCCACCTTCTAACATCTATAGAGGACTTCTTTTGTTTTTCCTTGCCAGTATCCACGCCTTCTTCTTCCAATGACGCCACCTGGATTTGAAATGTCTATGTGGCTCAGGTGGGACTTAGGAAGTCTTAGATGTGCATGTGACCCAGGATTGACCAATCATTATATCCCATCCCCCTGGCTACAGTCATTGGTTGATAGAGGGGCACATGACCCAATTTAGGCCAATGAGACACATTCCTGAGACTTTCAGTGGAACTAATAGGAAAGAGAAGCTCTTTGTCCACTGTGGTGTCAAGCCCATAAGACGTAGGCCTGGAGCTTTTGCAGACTTCCACTTAGAGGGAGCCTGCCTGAGAATGAAGGCTCCAGAGAGGAAAGCAGAGTCAACAGAAATGAAAATAGGAAAACTGAGTCCTGATAGCTGTATAAGCACCCAGATCCCATGATCCAACATGCCTGAAGACATTACTCCCTGATGAGTCAATCTCATCAGGCCAATTGGTGAGGTCCATTCGAGCCAGGCTTTCTTCTACTTGCCACAAAAAATTCCTAGTGGATAACCACGGCGCCTATCGTTTCCACCAAATCCCAACCACAATCAGGCCAACCCAGGCTGGTGATGAGCCCCTGGTGACCAATGTGTGAAACTCACCTTTTTCCTCACCCTCCACCTCTTCTAACTGCTCCTCAGAGATACCTGGGTGCACACTTTATGGCTGGTAACCCATCTGTCCTGGACGCATGGGTCTGCCCTCCTACCTAATCCCCTCCCAGTGTCCCACTTTCCTCCTCAACACCCACCTGCCCAGGGAAATCTTTCTGGTTTTTCCTTACTTTTGCTTTATTTACTTGGTATTATTAGTCT